CAATCTATGAGCACATTAACTACAGTTACTTATCAATCTATGAGCACAGTAACTACAGTTACTTATCAATCTATGAGCAGTAACTACAGTTACTTATCAATCTATGGGCACAGTAACTATAGTTACTTATCAATCTATGAGCACAGTAACTATAGTTACTTACCAATCTATGAGCACAGTAACTACAGTTACTTATCAATCTATGAGCACAGTAACTACAGTTACTTATCAATCTATGAGCACAGTAACTATAGTTACTTACCAATCTATGAGCACAAAAACTACAGTTACTGATCAATCTATGAGCACAGTAACTATAGTTACTTACCAATCTATGAGCACAAAAACTACAGTTACTGATCAATCTATGAACAGAGTAAATATAGTTATTTATCAATCTATGAGCACAGTAACTAGTTACTTATCAATATATGAGCACAGTAACTAGTTACTTACTAATCTATGAGCACAGTAACTACAGTTACTTATCAATCTATGAACACAGTAACAATAGTACTTATCAATCTATGAGCACAGTAACTATAGTTACTTATCAACCTATGAGCACAGTAACTACAGTTACTGATCAATCTATGAACACAGTAACTACAGTAACTTATCAATCTATGACCACAGAAATTATAGTTACTTAGCAATCTATGAGCAGAGTAAATATAGTTACTTATCAATCTATGAGCACAGAAACTATAGTTACTTATCAATCTATTAGCACAGTAACTATAGTTACTTATCAATCTATGAACACAGTAACTTTAGTTACACATCAATCTATAAGCACAGAAACTATAGTTACTTACCAATCTATGAGCACAAAAACTATAGTTACTGATCAATCTATGAACAAAGTAAATATAGTTACTGATCAATCTATGAGCACAGTAACTAGTTACTTACAAATCTATGAGCACAGTAACTATAGTTACTGATCAATCTATGAATACAGTAACTAGTTACTTATCAATATATGAGCACAGTAACTAGTTACTTACTTATCTATGAGCACAGTAACTGCAGTTACTTATCAATCTATAAACACAGTAACTACAATTACTGATCAATCTATGAGCACAGTAACTACAGTTACTTATCAATCTATGAACACAGTAACTGTAGTAACGTATCAATCTATGAACACAGTAACTGTAGTAACGTATCAATCTATGAACACAGTAACTAGTTACTTATCAATCTATGAGCACAGTAACTACAGTTACTTATCAATCTATGAGCACAGTAACTACAGTTACTTACCAATCTATGAGCACAATAACTATAGTTACCGATCAATCTATGAACAGAGCAAATATAGTTACTGATCAATCTATGAGCACAGAAACTATAGTTACTTACCAATCTATGAGCACAATAACTATAGTTACTGATCAATCTATGAACAGAGCAAATACAGTTACTTATCAATCTATGAGCATTGTAGGTTGAACCACAGTTACTGATCAATATATGAGCACAGTAACTAGTTACTTACCAATCTATGAGCACAATAACTATAGTTACTGATCAATCTATGAACAGAGCAAATACAGTTACTTATCAATCTATGAGCATAGTAGGTTGAACCACAGTTACTGATCAATATATGAGCACAGTAACTAGTTACTTACTAATCTATGAGCACAGTAGGTTTAACTACAGTTACTGATCAATCTATGATGACAGTAACCACAGTATCTCATCAGTCTCTGAACACAGTAACTGTAGTAACGTATCAATCTATGAGCACAGTAACTATAGTTACTTATCAATCTATGAGCACAGTAACTATAGTTACTTATCAATCTATGAGCACAGTAACTAATGTAACTTATCAATCTATGAACACAGTAACTACAGTTACTTATCAATCTATGAGCACAGTAACTACAGTTACTTATCAATCTATGAGCACATTAACAATAGTTACTTATCAATCTATGAGCACAGTAACTTATGTTACTTATCAATCTATGAACACAGTAACTACAGTAACTTATCAATCTATGAGCACAGTAACTACAGTTACTTATCAATCTATGAGCACAGTAACAATAGTTACTTACCAATCTATGAACACAGTAACTACAGTTACTTATCAATCTATAAACACAGTAACTACAATTACTGATCAATCTATGAGCACAGTAACTACAGTTACTTATCAATCTATGAACACAGTAACTACAGTTACTTATCAATCTATGAACACAGTAACTACAGTAACTTATCAATCTATGAACACAGTAACTACAGTTACTTATCAATCTATGAGCACAGTAACTACAGTTACTTATCAATCTATAAGCACAGTAACTACAGTTACTTATCAATCTATGAGCACAGTAACTACAGTTACTTACAAATCTATGAGGACAGTAACTATAGTTACTTATCAATCTATAAGCACAGTAACTACAATTACTTATCAATCTATGAACACAGTAACTACAGTTACTTATCAATCTATGAGGACAGTAACTATAGTTACTTATCAATCTATGAACACAGTAACTACAGTTACTTACAAATCTATGAGGACAGTAACTATAGTTACTTATCAATCTATAAGC